TGGGCCATGTCAGAGCAAGGCTGGTGGGGTCGTGTGGTTTCCTCGGCAGCTCTGTTTCCCCCAGGCTTTAGAAATGGAGTGCTGTGGTGTGGCGATAGAGCCCTGGGGGTGGAGAGAAGTGACAACGTGGGGGGCTGCCAATGTTGGAGGGGATTCTGGTTCGAGGATTGACTTTTTTCTTTAATGGTTGCAGCAAGCGCTAGCAGCATGAGCCTGTGCTGTTTCCTGACAAAACTTCAGGATTAAGTGACTTGCTCCACTTCCAGCATCCTCAGTTATCCTTAACCAGCTGGTGAAGTCCGTATCGGTGCAGCTGGGGCAGACCTTTTCTGATGCAATGGGAACCATGCCCTGAGAACTGGTAAGAATTGGCCATAGCCATGACAGAGCCCCACAGGGTTTCGTTCACCACTCTCCATGGTCCACTGAGCGGCAGCAGCTTCTTGAAGCGGTCTCGGAAAGATGATGGAGAGCAGCCCCAGGACTCTGAACCAGCTGCGACAGCTGTTCGAATCACACTTACTCTCTTTGAGCCAGATCACAAGCGTTGTCCAGAATTTTTCTACCCAGATCTTCTGAAGAGTTGTCGAGGGAAAGTGAAAGGTGGTTCTTCAGGAGACAAGGTAAGTGTCCTTGTGGCCTGTGGGGAACCTGTGTTGTATTGGAAGATTTCAAAGGCTTTTCAGTATTGCTGTCTTAATGCTGTTTTGAGTGTTGGTTGTATGTCAGCTGTGGAGTGCTGCGAGGTGGAAGGAGGGTGGTCAGGCATCCCACAGGCAGGAGAACTGGCACCAGACAGGGGTTCTTCTTGTCAGGCCACACTGTCTCACTTCTTTGCCTTGGCTGGAATTTCACGTCAGAAAGGTGATGTGTTGGTGACAGAGTATGAGATATAATGCCCGTTTAGTTTGTAATTGCTTGATCTAAAGTGATTTTTGGTACCTGGCTTGCCAGCAGCTATGAGGAGCTCTTTTTCAAAGAGCATCAAAAGTAGAGATGCTTCTATGATATGTGACTGTATCTTTTTTGGGACCCTGCTCTACTACACATGAATATTTCCACCTTAGTGCTTGGCATCTCTTCCTGTGTGGTGGGCATGGTGCTTTCAGGTGTTGCCTGACAATTCTGTTTGCCTGTTGAAAGCCATTTCTGAGGACACAATGGCATGCAAACTTCTGTAGCATCTGAACTTTGTATTATGGGTGTTTTTCTATGAAAAGAAAACTGTTGCTCTTCAGAACTGTTTAGCAATCAGTTGATGGCTCATGCTGCTTATTTTGGTTTTTTTTTTGTTGGGTTTTTTTTGTTTTTTTTGAGAGAGAGTTGGGAGAAGCAGAGACAGGGGCGGAACTAGCTGAGAGAGCACTCAAGGCATAGAGACACTCTCAGAGTCACAGCACCCAAATGGGTTGGAAGGGACCTTGAAAAGCCAGCTAGTTCCAACCTCTCTGCAGTGAGCAGGGACATCTTCAACTCGATTGGGTCGCTCAAAGCCCCATCCAACCTGACCTTGAATGTTTCCAGGGATGGGGCATCTACCATCTCTCTGGGCAGCCTGTACCAGTGGTTTACCATGCTCAGCCTAAAAAAATTCTTCCTTATATCTAGTCTGAACCTCCACTCTCTTAGTTTAAAAGCATTACCTCTTGTCCTGTTGCAACAGGCCCAGCTAAAAAGTCCCTCCCTATCTTTCTCATAAGCCCCCTTTAGGCTGCTCTAAGATCTCCCCGGAGCCTTCTCTTCTCCAGGCTGAACAACCCCAACTCTCTCAGCCTGTCCTCATAGGAGAGGTGTTCCAGCCCTTGGATCATTTTTGTGGCCTCCTCTGGACTCGCTCCAACAGTTCCATGTCTCTCCTGTACTGAGAATCCCACAGCTGGATGTGGTACTGCAGGGGGGGTCTCATCAGAGTGGAGTAGAGGGAGAGAATCCCCTCCCTCGACCTGTTGGTCACGCTTCTTTTAATGCAGCCCAGGGTACGGTTGGCTTTCTGGTCTGCGAGCACACATGGCCGGGTCATGTTGAGCTTCTCATCAACCAGCACCCCCAAGTCCTTCTCCTCAGGGCCACTGTCAGTCCATTCTCCACCCAGCCTATATTTATGTTTGAGATTGCCCCGACCCAGGTGCAGGACCTTGCACTTGGCCTTGTTGAACTTCATGAGGTTCGCACAGGCCCCACCTGTCAAGCCTGTCCAGGTCCCTCTGGATGGCTTCCCTGCTCTCCAGCACACCACACAGCTTGGTGGTGTCGGCAAACTTGCTGAGTGTGCACTCAATCCCACCGTCTATGTCATTGATGAAATTATTAAACAGTACTGTACTAAATACTGTACTAAAGGTTGATTTGTCTGAGCTTCTGCCTGGATGCTGTAGTCATGATGGATTTAATGCATGGGGTTTTGGTGGCAGCGTGACAAGATTGATTCTGATGTGTTTGTGTCTTTTATTTCTACAGAAGAAAGACCCTGCTGATCCCTTTAATGATGATGAAAAGGAAAGACATAAAGTGGAGGCTCTTGCTAGAAAGTTTGAAGAAAAATATGTATGTTTTTCTTCTTTATATTATGTTATCCCTTAGAATGGGCAATGCTGTTCAGCTGTCAACCAGTAGCATTTAATGGTCATTGGCTCTGATGTTCCTGTTCTCCTGCAGTCCTTTATCTTGGCTGGAAGGTGCTGTTTTCTGTGTTCCTTTTCTGTCTCAGGGCTGTGGTCCACGAAAATAGTTCAGATATATTCTTAAATCAGATGAGTCTGATTAAAGTGAATGACTTTCTCACTTGTAGTGGCAAGTAACTTACTGTAATTTATAAAATTTAATTTTCCTAAGCAAAAATTAATTTTGAGGCATTGTTGCTGTGGCACTCTGCAATCTGTCAAGTCCCTTAAGTAGGGTGCTCTGGTGAGTCTGCTGCTCTTAGGACAGTACTGCGCCAGGTGGTGTGAGACGCAGATCTGTCTTACCCATTTCCTTCTCGTTGTTCCTCTCACTTTAGTTCTGTAGATGGCAATAAACAAAATTTATGTTTTGCATCTGGCGCTTTTGGATAGCGAGTTGCTTTATTGTCTTCTGATACAAATTTGGCCTGTGGGTCACCCTAATGCACTGCCTATATGTTTGATGCACTTGGTACCGAGTTTGTACCAACTGTGTAGCAGTTATGGGAAGAACAATCCATCTCCGCACCAGCAGAAATGTTGAAGGGGTGCAGACCCAATTCAACATAAAGTCTGAGGACACAAAGTCAGCCTGTCTGGCAGGTCAGCGTTTTGTTTCATTTGCCCGCACCATTTTTGGTTCCGTATGACAAGGCCTAAAACTGCATTTACCATATCCTGAGATTACAGTGTCATGGAAGTTAATGCTGGTTTGGTTCTGCTGCTGCTAGGAGCAAAAAAAATCTCATTCCCTTTTCTGTACTGGATCCAATATCAGTGTCCTGTATTGGGGCTATCCCTGTGGTAACTGGAAAAGAAAGATGAAGACACTGTCCATCTTTTCTTGTTTAGGGTGGCAAGAGACGTAGAAAGGACCGTATTCAGGACTTGATCGATATGGGGTATGGATACGACGAATCTGACTCCTTCATTGATAATTCTGAAGCAGTGAGTACTGGGGCAGGTGTGAGGGTGGTTAAAGGCAGCTGCCTGCGGGGCTGAGCTGGCCCCTGGGGAGAACCAGAACTGGGTGCAAGCCAGGAGTGTGCCAGGGCTGGGGAACAAGAGTTCCTGGGGCAACCGCATGGCCAGGGAATGCTGGTTAGCAGGCATGTCCACAGCCTCATCTGTTCTTGTGGGAGCGCGAATCCTACTCCATTCTCCAAGCAACTCAGCTACAGAAGAAAGTAACCAAGCTTACAGTACCAATAAATTGTTCTCTGTTATTTTCCAGTATGATGAGCTTGTTCCGGCTTCTCTTACTACAAAGTATGGAGGGTTTTACATCAACTCAGGAACACTGCAATTTCGGCAAGCATCTGAATCTGAAGATGACTATGTTAAAGAGAAAAAGAAGAAGTGTCCCAAGGTCAGCAAGCCAGCTTCCTCAATTATTTCCTGTGTTAGAGCTCGCAGGATTTGCTGCATGAAAGTGTGTTGATGTTGGAAGCTGAGTGAGATTTGTGAATTGGTGTGGACGGAATAGGGATGAGCACTTGAAATCCCATTCTGTCCCCACTGTTGATAGTAAAATGAGGCATATCTGGCATGTATGAGAGTCTAGTGGGGTTGCCTGGTTCCTAAAATAGAGGTGGTAACAGCCTGAAAAGTCACATAGTGTTACAGGGATGCCAAGATATGTTCGAGGGTTCTTCTGTTTCTCATCTGAGGTGTGCTACAGACTCTGCTGGGAAACTAGTGCTTCTCTTTCGTGGCAATGTTGGAGATAGCCCCATTTTCATAATGCCAAAGTGAGGCGGCTAAAGGGGAAACAGGAGGAGCACTTGGCATCCTTTCCCCTGTATGGATGGGATCATCTCTAGTGTAACAGCCAGGTGTGCTGGGAAATGTTGAAGACAGTGTGTACCAGAATGCCAGTGATAGATGTGTGGGGTTTGGGTTAATGTGTCCAGTGGGGAAGGAGCTGTTCTCAAATTCTTGGGAGAGGGCCCGAAGTGGCTCTGGGAGCACAGGTAGCATTGTTGGAGATGCTTTGATTGTGACTTGGTTTTAACCCTCTCCAGAAGCGGAAGTTGAAAGATGGGGGTGAAAAAATGAAGAAGAAGAAGAAGGATGATTCTTATGAGAAGGAAAAGAAATCCAAGAAGTCCAAGTTTCCAAAAACTGGGTAAGGAGGAGGGAACGCTGGCTGCTCGACACCTTGCTTCGGCGTTACAGGTGGCATTTGTCAGGCTGCAGTAGGAGCTGTTGCAGTGGGCGGTGGCTTGAGTGCATGCTGCCTAAAGACCAGCAGGAAAACCCCCTTTGCTTCCAAAGTGGGAGAAAAAAGGCAGCTGACGGTGAGGAAAGGAGTACAGCTCCACAGCAAGTGTCCAAGCAAAGAGAGGCAGAGCTAGCTGCAACATTGGTGTTTCTTTGGAGCTCTGTTTAGGCACTAATGGTGGGAACAGATATTGGGGAACCTGATGAGAAGGAAAAGGAATTTGCTCTTCTGGCTTTAAGAGGCAAAAAGCTTCAGGCTGCTGTCACGGTAACTCTCACTTACTTCAGTTTCTCTGTGCTAGTTGTTTGTGCATTTCCCAATCTTCCTTGCTGGGCTAAAGCAGGTAGCTATATAAGAGCGTAACTCAGTAGAGGTGGTTTAAGCTCCATCACCTCTCTGCAGTGAGAAAGGACAGCCTTCTCTTTTCCAAGCTGAACAAGCTGCAGGAGCTTAAGGCCTTAGGAAGCGGTACAATATTTTTCCTGGTATAATTGATTAAGGGGCTAAGACTTTCCAGGGCATTGGTGCATATGGCTGAGGAGAACTGACATGAAGGTATCCTCCTCTCTTCCCCTTCACCATGTATTAATTTCAGTTCCCTTTCCTCCTCCATACTTTGTTTACAGCTTTACGGCATTAAATGCAAGTAAGGAGAAGAAGAAGAAGAAATACTCTGGAGCTCTTAGTGTCAAGGAGATGCTGAAGAAGTTTCAGAAGGAGAAGGATGCTCAGAAGAAAAAAGATGAAGAGCAGAAAGTGGTGGCTCCTTCACCAGCAGAACCTCCAGCCCCAAGGGAGGCAGAGGCAATGGCTGACCCTTTGCTCTCACTGTTTGGCCGTGCCAGCGATAACGACCTGCTTCAGGCAGCAACGGCTATGGACTCGTTAACTGACCTAGACCTGGAGCGGCTCCTCAGTGAATCCCCAGAAGGAAGTCCCTTTCCTGAGGTGGAGGATGGGAGCGATCCTGTTGGGATGGGCTTGGAGCAGGATTTCAAGCAACCACCGTCCCTCCCAGAAGGCCTGCCAGCCCCTTTGGAGAAACGCATCAAAGAACTGGCTCAGGTATGGCAGTTGGTTGCGGGGACAGCTCTGCTAGGTTTGTCTAGCTTCACCCAGAGACAGATCACGCTCCGGGGGGGAGTTTTGCAGTGCTATATGGGATCACACCTTTTATCTTCACCCAGTTTTCTCTTATGACCGAGTCACTTTCTTGAACGCCCCAATGTTGGGTAGTGTCCAAGTCCTTGGCCTTGTTATCTGCTGCATGTAACACTCAATATCACACCTGTTAGTGTGGCTGCTCTCTTGGCAAAGTATGGACCTGATGCAAGAGGTAATTTCGCAAATCAATTTAACGTGAATTAATTTAAAATATGAACTAATGACGCTGAAGGACAAATTCCACTGTAATAGTTTTAATGTGGTGTGATGGTCAGGACAGCGTCTGTGGTGTGCAGTGTTCTGTATGCAAAATAAGTCGGTGCAGCTGGAAAGCGTTATCTGTTCTACTGTGTGAAAAGGCATGAAAAGCCCTGTAGATGGGGCTTGAGGATTTGTTAGAACCATTTCCCATGTCATACGCAGGCAGATGCCTTCAGTGAAGCATGGGTACGATTTGGCATCTCCCACATTGAAGCTGCATCACTGGCAATTTGGGTTCGTGGGGTAGCGTTTAGGGAGCAGAATATATTAATTTCCAGAAGGGTGATCTCACGTCTTTTCACCAGTAGCTCCTCCTGCAGCTGGACTGCTGTGGAACTGACCCATTGTTTCCAAAATGTTGTGACAGGCTTTGGGAAGCGCTGTCCTGGAGAAGTGGGAAAGCACTGGGTGCTGGTCAGGGATCCCTCTCCTGGCATGTCAAAGAAGTGCACTTTCAAACTTGCTGTGAGGTTCCTCTGGTATGAGGGCTGTCACCATCAACCCGTCAACAAATACTGAGTTGTTTTGTTCCTGCTACTAGTGTTATTTTTAAACATTGATTTTAAGTCGTAAACAGTGCTCTTAGGCCTCTGTGGTGCTGTTTGTTCTGCCTTCTGGGGCATGTCAATTTAGAGCACCTGTTACTTAAGCATCTCTTACCTTTAGTAACAGGAGTTATTAAGTAAGCATCTGTTAAAGATAGCTGTGTTCTGCTGAGAAATTCGAAGTGTATATAGTGGTGGTGAGCAGATGGAAGAGAAGGAGGAATTGAAAGTATTGCCACAGCTGATAAAAAGAATGGGCTCTTCAGGGATGTTTCAATTTGCTATTCAGGCTGTTCACAGAAAACACTGAAACAGCTGTTTCTGAACTATACCTGAGTTAAAGGAGAATATTACAGAGGCTCCCATGATATCAAGTTAATTGTTATGTTGCTGCAAGACAGTGTAATAGCAGACTACCCACAGATTTTCCTGCTGCTCTGTCTCTTGTTGTTGGGCTGTGTATGTTAGGAAAAGAAACCAAGGAGGAGAAATACAAGATTTAACAAATTGAAGCCCCTGGGTCAGTTAGGATTTTGGGACATGAACCCTGTTGCAGATGGGAATGAAGAGGTACCATACCTCTGTCTGAAAGCCAGGTGTCTTCCATCCCAGCAGGTGGGAGCACCTCCCCAGTTGAGGAAATGCCATTTTTCTACTTGAACTGATTTGACTTTAACCCTCTCCTTCCTAAAAGAATTTTCCTGTTGAGGATTATCTTTAGCATTGAGCCTTCTCCTTTCATATCACTGGCTGTCTGTGGCCTGTACAGAGAGGCATGTACACCTTCTGGGCATAAATAATCGCTTATCAGCCTCCACCTTGGTGTGTTAAATCAGGGGGTTTCAAACTCATGCCCTTCACTCCTGGTCTCCTTTCCCAAGCAAGGAATCACTAACTTGATGTGGTGCCTTGTGAATCCCAGTTTTGTTTACATCCCCACTCAGAAGAGACTGAAAGTTCTTGGCAGTTTTCTGTTATCTCATTAATCTCTCGGAATTATTTTCCAGCTGGATATATTTTTTATGGGTGTGATTTTGGGGCAGTGCTGTGTGTGCTGCAGTCATAGCTCAGGAAGCTTCCTGAACAGGATTTTTTTGTTTGTTTGTTTCCATGGTGTTGATTGGAAATAAGGTATCCCCTGTGGCTAGTACTTTCTGTTGGTTTCTTGGCTTAGTGTCGAGATTGGTCTAGAAAGCCTGGTGATAAGTATCCCTGACCCTCATTAAACATGACTAGGATGATCTTTCCTGTTACAGGGAAAAGCTCTGTGCTCATATTACTTAATCAAACAGCTGTAATGTGAAGTTAAAACCATGCCCTAGAACTGTCCCTTCTCCTCATGAGGAGTATGCCAAAGCAGCCAGTTGCCACTGAGCCATCTCCTTTGCCCCATCAAATGGAGAAATCTTCACTCTGGTGTAGTAATTCCAACTCACTGGACCCTAGTGCATCAGTACAGGAGAATCCAGAATGGGAAGGTCTGTGGACAGGACATCATCTTACCAGTTCTGATGGCAGGGTTGGACTTTAACTGAGGAGGCATAAGAGGAGAGGAAACCATCTCTCTTCTCTCTGTCGATTGTGACAGTTTTTAGCCCATCTACAGTAGGTGGCTGGTGCAGAGTTTGATGGAATAAAACTTTGCCTTGTTTTACAGTGTTTCTGAAGTGGTTTAAAAAACAGTTGATTGCTTGTGCCTGTCTATATCTGTGAACTGATGATGACTGGTGTTATTTGCTAATTTATAGGCTGCCAGAGCTGCAGAGGGAGAAGGCAAACAGAGATTCTTCACTCAGGATATCAATAACATCATACTGGAGTAAGTGCTGCCAGGAGAGAAGAGTGGGAAAGAAGAATATTAGGCAGAGCATTTTTGGTAAATTCAGGAGCAAGTTTAGCAGGAGTTGGGGGAGTGTGCTTATATGGATCCTCCACGCAGAACATGCCTAGGATAACATGAAAGTCTCCTAAAAGTGGCTTTCAGTTGAAATATGATGTATAACAGAGGTAGCAGAGTGTTGGAGTGGATGCCTCCTGTTCTCAAGATGATGCTTGATATCCGTGTACTTAAATTTGGTCACTTGACCTGTGATTGTATCTTGATACAAGAACAGTACATCTCTCCCTGTCAGAGATGTCAGGCATGTTCTTTGGTATTTAAGTTATATGCTATATGGAATATTTTATCACTGATAAGGCTGGTGTGTTCAACTGGCTTTCTGTGCAGACTGGAGGAACTCCATTACTGCTCTGTGTTTTCAAGTCCCCCAATTACAGAATGCCTGTGTTGCTTCACGCAGCTGTTGATAATGGGTTCATTCTTCAAGTGCTTGGAGAAGGCTGATGAATGCACACAGGTTTGTGATCATTGCAGTGTAATAATACTTACACAGCAGCTTTAATTTCATTAAGGTTTATCAAGGCACTTGAAGAGAATTACCAAAGGGAAGTTTGGGAGTCTGTTTCCCTCTTGTTTCAAGTGGTGATAACCACCTTTCAGCATGCCAGTGCTGACTGCACAAACAGTCCTAATCTGTCAAATTAATAACTTTAACCACATTCAGAAGACATTTAGATAGATTTGTATTACTTTGCCGTAGAATCAGTTAGGGGTTTTTACAATTATTGTTGACACTGAGAGGTGGCTTAAAGAGCTAGTCTCCTAAGCTATGTATGACTGTGTAGATAGATTTGGCACACGCTGACCTCTCTAACCTATTCACTGTGAAGTAAGTTCAAGCCCAAGGGATAAAGTTTAATTCTATATTATCCTGACCTAGACTGCTGTAGTATCTGACATAAGCAATGTGTACCTCTCATTTCATTCCCCAATGTTCCTGCAGTTCAGTTACCAGGACAAGGCCGCCCCTGCTGCTGCCCAGCGGCCCGCTCCGGGGCCCGTTGGTTGAACGGTGTTTCAGGAGCGGGTCTAAGCGGAGCCTTCTCGTGTCCATTGCCGGCTGGGAGAAGGGAGACGGCTTAGTCTCCTAAGCTATGTATGACTGTGTAGATAGATTTGGCACACGCTGACCTCTCTAACCTATTCACTGTGAAGTAAGTTCAAGCCCAAGGGATAAAGTTTAATTCTATATTATCCTGACCTAGACTGCTGTAGTATCTGACATAAGCAATGTGTACCTCTCATTTCATTCCCCAATGTTCCTGCAGTTCAGTTACCAGGACAAACTGCAGAATAAATGATACTGCTGACATTCTTTGGTTCCTTTTGCGGATACTCTGAAACTGGATTAAAAGGCATCGCTTGGGATAAGGGGCTTGAGTCTGTTGATTCTAAAAGCTAAAGCAGTGTCGTGCAGTTTGGCTTGTCCTTTGTCCCTCTCTCCCTGCCTCCAGCTCCCCAGGTTGCATCAGAGTTGCATTTCTGTTGCTTAGAGAACCCCTGCCAGATCCCTGGTCAAGGCTGTGTTTGTCCTGTTCTTCAGTATCGAGCTGCAGACCCGGGAGCTGAACAGCCAGATCCGGTCAGGGGTGTACGCCCACCTGGCTGCTTTCTTCCCATGCAGTAAGGACACTCTGGTCAAGCGTGCCCGGAAGCTCTATCTCTATGAGCAGGTGAGTGAATCTGGGAGCACAGCCGTGTCTCGCGTGCATGTTACCCCTGCTCTCCGGAGCCCAGTTGTTATCTGCCTAACATGGTGGTGTGCTCCATGGAGCATCTGGTGATGTGGATTCAGAAGTGGCCGGGTCTCGACCTGCCCGCTTTGGGTGCCTCAGCTGGCATGCACCATGTGGAACTTGAGTCTGTTCTGCGATTGCTCTAGGGTGGCCGATTGAAGGAACCTCTACAGAAGCTAAAGGAAGCCATTGGAAGGGCCATGCCAGAGCAGATGGCCAAGTACCAGGAGGAATGCCAAGCCCATACCCAGGCCAAGTTTGCCAAGTAAGCTCCTCGTTTGCTCATTATGCGTCTGTAGCTCTTCTCAGCAGGCTCCCTGTGACCTGTAGGCTGCTCTCATGAAGTTTACCACCTATTTTTGTTCTGTAGTCAGAAATTGCTGATGGGTGTTAATTGGCCTAATTAAGCTGTGTGTGTCCTTTGTGCTACGTGTGGTGATGCCAACTACAGCAGCAT